TTGCTGGAACGAGGAGAGAACCACGAGAGTAGAACCAGCTGGAACGAACGAGCTGGATGAAAAAGGAAGGCAGGATAAAGAGAAGGGTGGCAAGAGGTGGTGAAGAGGCTCGCCGGGAAGTCTTCTTTCATTGGAGAGACAAAGAGGCGAGTTTAAGAAGGAGCAGAGGGTCGACTAGTGTTGCTTAGAATACCAGAGGAGGAAAACGAAAGAAAGATTTAGAAATTGAAGAACCGCGTGGGAAGAAGGTGGAAGGGGAGAGCCGCACCGGCCGAGCGATGAAGAGGGTCCCGAGGCTTACCGCTTTCGAAGGATGAACCGACGAGATGTCGATAAAAAGGAGAAGAACATCGACGACGAAACTATTACATTACGTTGTCCTGGTAAACGTGGGAAACGTGGCGAAACTAAAAGACGTGGAGATTTCCTGAAGTGGAAGATCAATTTCACGTAGTGAATGGTTAATCTTAATTTTCTGCTGGCGGAACATTCGCGATAACTCAACTCAGCTATCGCCATGCGAGAAATACGTCGACTATGATGGACGATAGAGAGCAGAGGACCGAACGAAGGAGAATCGCGGGCCAGGCAAGGATGAAGAAGGGATAGAAGAAGGCATAATTGGATAGGTGAAAGGAGAGAAAGAGGAACGAGGGTGAACAGGGTGAACGAAGGTGGTGAGATGTTGCAACGTAGGCTCTGTTCGCAACGTAAAGGAAAGATATACTTATGTAGTTAAGCCGGGGTTAGATCGCTTCGTCCGCCATCGCTTCGTCCGTCGCACTTTTTAAGCTCTGCGATTACTTATCCTTCCTCGTCTCTTCCGTTCTCTTCCGCTTCAGCGTGATGAATCGCAACTATCCTTCTTCACGTCGCGCGAACGCCCTGCAATTTAACGTACGAGCGATCATTAAAAATCCACCGCCGAAAAAATCGTCGTTCCGCTTGATCTTCAGGCTCGCCTAACACGTGATTTATTCTTGTGTGTTTTGAAACTGTTCTCAAATGTGTTCTTCCAAAAGGGGAGGACGGAACGAATGTTGGCGGTTAACGAAAGTATCAGTTTATATTTATATTTGTGCGAACGAAGCTTTCATTAGCCCGGTAATCGGCCGGTATCGATTGCGCCAGCACACGCAGATGAGATTGAGCTTGCAGACTGACAGAGGTAACGTTTTCAATTGCAACTCCCACACCGAAGGCGGTAACGAGCCATCAAGTCTGCTGGTAATCGAATGCCAACTGCGGTCTCGTGTTTGCTCTAACGCCTTCGCGAGAAACATGAAGCTAACTAATCGCCCATCTACGTTCACGTGCCCTCCGAGGAAACAACCGCTTTCACTTCTAAATTTATACATATTTGTCGTCTAAATTGACGTTGCTCTCGTTCCTCTTTTCTTCTTCACTTTTTTAAAATTTTTATTCTTATTGAACTCAAAGATCTCATCTACGAAATCAATCGAGTATGGGATCAAAAAGATAAACTAAATTGAAATTCAAAATTTTGTGTTTCGAACACTGACGAATTTGAATAGTGACCTGACTCACCCAACGAAACGTTTCAAACGCAGAGTTTATTCAGTTTTCTCGAAAATCTTTTCCGAAAATCAGTTCCTCGGAGATTCCTCGGAAGAGAATTCTTTCCAGATCGAGATAAGTCACGCGGTATTATCGTAACTTCACCGTGATGTTTCGCCATCGCGAGCCACACGGAGGAAGACTAGAGGAAAACGATCATTTTCAAGGCAATAACTCAAGGTCGGCCGGTTAAACGTAATATCTGTTAAAACTCGGCGCAAAGATTAAACGCCAGCGCAATTAATCACCATCGACGGTTAAGCCTCTCGCGAAAATCGATATATCGCGTGCACGTCATCATCCTTGCGCAAGACTCGCGTCCCTGATGGCTGAATTTATTATTATTGATAAATAAAGTGATTAGCTAAGGGACTAAATGGTACGCGATAAAAGCGGAAGCTAATCGTGTTTATCAAATGTACGAGTTCCGAAGATCCAATCTCCAATTAGTTACCTACATGGTTGTTCAAAATCTAACGTGGTTCAAAACCTACGTGGATTAGCT